TATAATATGAATAAAGTTAAAGTAACTGAAAATATTTGTCTTTACCAAAGAGTTTTATATTAATTTTCCTTTAAAGTCAGAAAAATTTGTATGATTATGATGAATTTTAAAAGATTGCACAGGATTTATTTATTCATGTTGAATTTCTATCCAAAGAAAACAGGCCTCTTATGTGATATCGAACTAATGCAATATGACATTACTTGTTTGGCAAAAAATTATGACAATGCTGAACAAACTGCTGACAGGGGACAATATGTATCTCTTCAAGTTTAGATAGATGATATTTTGCTGTTTTTTGTTAGTTTATCAGAGGAGAGGTAAGTTTTATTTAACAATAGTCAAAAGACAAATGAAAGGAATTTAAAGAATTTCTGAAAAAATAACTCAAAATTTTTCAAGACTTAGAAATGGAAATATTCACTAAAATTCCAATTACTACACAATGATGCAACTGGAATTTGTTAACAATGATATAAATACTTATGCAATATAATCAAAGTTTTAACAGGTTTTAAAATAAAATGAAGTTTAGTATTTTGGTAATTGTTATAATGATCAAAAGTACAATACATAGAATATATTGTTGCAACAGGTATGATAGGAAAAAATAGGCCATTTAAGAATTAAGAAATTAAAAATTTTAACAAAGTTACTTTATTAAAAAAAAAATTAGCAAAACAGAAAAAAGTGATTGTGAAATATTGAATAATGTCAAACTGCTTTTTTTAGTCTTTAAAACAGTTTGGTCTTCTGACACAAATAATGATGGTAGCATGAGATAGGGGAAAGATAATAACACATTTCTTTTGTTTTAAAAAAAAAAATGAAATTACAGTGCCAAGGGATTGCATTGATTGTGCCTAACGCGTTACTTGTTGACAGTGCCTAGCCACAAAAAGAAGCAGTCACAAAAAATGTTTCTAACACATCATTATTATTATTATTATTAAAATTGAAAAACATTGCAGTAGCATCTTTGATAATTTGCATAAAAGAGAATACAAATTGGATTAATTTATTGAAATTATGATATCTATTTGGCTTAATCACTAAAAAAGTAAAATAGGCCATGAGGATGATATATTATGAAAACTGGTATGTACCTACAGAAAATGTTAGTAGAGCTAATCCTTTTATTGTTCATATACAGCCATATGCAAATTTCAGAATATAAAAAAGTTAATTTTCAAAACAAATGATTTTTAAGATCTAATTCATTATATCTGACAAAACCATACCAGTTTGCTACAAAGGAAAAACACTTCAAATTTGAAAAAAAATTGAAGTGTAATCTGATTAAATGAAAACATGTAAATTACATAAATTAGCAAAGCTAAATATTCTATTAAAAAATAATTTTAATAAACCCAAACTTTGCAAATGCTTGTTATAAATATCCAGTAAGAAACTTTAAAAATATATATCTATACAAAGATAAAAAAAAGTTATTTAATAGTTTTGATGCACTCAGCTTACTGTCAATTATTCCATCATATTTGAATATATTTACTGATTTCATCTTTCTTCTTTTATACACAAATATTATTTACATATTCATGGCAAAAATTGTTTGCTAATCATATTGGATAAAAAATATAAGAGTTAAATGTAAAGGTCTTTATTTTAATTCTATCAGTTATTTAAAAAATATCAATAAAAACACTGAAAAGTTTCAAGTTGAATCCAAGAAAATGAAATTTCATAAATATCCACTTTGCACTTACAAATATAAACATATATAACCAGGTGTGTTTATGTATAATACATGTATAGATATAGACATAATTTTGTGTGTACATATAGGTAGTATACACACGCACACATTTACAAACAGTAATTACTTTAAATACACATTTTATAGATATGTTTAATAAAAGAAGCAATTAAATACTTAAGACTGAAAAATAAGAAATTTTTTTTGAGTGTTTCTAATTTCAGTATTTATAATACTATTTTATATTTTTATACTATATTTATACTATTCATTATAAATTTGGAAGAATTCTACTTTTCGGTAAAAAAATCAGTAAAATTTCAATTAAAAAAAATCAAAACAGGGTCACATGAAAGACATTAGTTTTTACCATTAACAAAAAATGTAGTGCAGTTGTTATCAATAAACAAAAATGTTCACAGAAAAATATGGCAAGTGATCAAATATCTAATCAGTTAAATATAAAGGAAATAAACACTTAATTTATGGAAATTTATAAATACTTGAAAAATACTTTTCTTTTACATTTTTATTCAGGGTAGTAATGTGCTGAGACTTAAATGCTTCAAATTGTGTATTTGTGTTTCTTGAAAGTTTTTATTAGCTGAGCAACAATTACAAAATAAATAGAATTTAATGTAATCCATTCTAACTTTTTAACAATAACAATATTGAATACAGTTTCTTTTTCTTTGGGGAAACTTGTTAACATTTTTTTCAGCAAAGAATACTGCTATGGGTCACAAAAAATACCAATTGTTAATTAGAGATCATAAAAAAAGTAATTTTGAAAAAAGCAGCAAAACCCTTGTCAAGATCTGAAGAAATCAAAACAAATCAAAACAGAACCAATCTACGTTAACCTGCCAAATGTTTTCCAAAAATGTGTAACGGGAAAAATACCATCATCGCAGCAGTTGAAAAAGAAGATAAACTTTTATATAAAGTAGAAAAGTACCAGAAAACTAAACATAATAAACAAGATCAATCTAGAGAGTGTATTCATATAATTCTGAAAAGATAAAATACAAGAAAGCAAAAAAAATTTCATTCATTTTCATAAAAAGAATGAACATTAATCAACTTCTTTTCTATAAGCTGAGAGAGAAATAGAAAAATAATGTTTGAAAAAGGAACAAAAAATGCACAGAATATTTTTTCAGTTCAGTGAACAGGTAAAAGTTAAAAATCAAGATAATTACATAATTTATAATTCAGCAAATAAAATTGAAAATAAATAAAATAAATGAAAAATAAGGAAAAATTGAAAAACTTATTCAGAAACAAAAATTGAAGAAATTAATAATTCTAACTTCAAATATGTAAAAAAATTCATTGAAAGAAATGAATTATAAGTGAATAAATTATAATGAAATACTTTTTAAAATTATTAATACTGAATAGAGAGAGACAGAGAGAAAAGAAAATTTGCATAATATAAACATTAGTAGAAGGGAAGAAAATGAATTAAAAACAATATTAACTATTGGAAAACAGGCACTGTTAAGAGAAATAATAATAATAATTATTATTATTATTATTACACTCATAGATGCAAATTTATCCTAAAACTGCTAAATAAGAAATTGGTGAAACTAAGTTTTCAATAAACAAAAAGTATAACATTAAATATTTCTTGCTAAAACAGTATTTGTTTCTTACAAAACCACAGAAGTAATAATGAAATGGTTGTTACTTCCACTGGAAAATACTCATGCAGGAAAAAATCTGCATGAATAATAAATAACTACAACAAAGATTTTCTTAGATAACAACAATGAATATTTAAGAAAAATCATGTAGAAAAAGAGGAGTCATGGGAAGGTTAATTGTTGAAAATTGGACAAAAGAATAAAAATGAAAATCATTTGTTGAAGGAATGCAGCACATGAAGAATTAGACAAGAGATCATTATACATTTTATTAGCGTGAATGTTGGGAAGAGTGACAATGAAATAGTTTGGGAAATAAACATGATAGAAACAATGAAGATTGTGTGACATATTTTTGTGATAGGTGGGACGATATACCAAAGGGAAAATGAAGATAATTAAAATTTGAAAAGTGATGTTTCAATATTTTTCAATGAACAAATGACATGACTTTTGTTTTATCAATGAATCAAATAAAAATCAGGGCGAAATGAAATGGAAGCAGAGATTTTTCATTTTTGTACATTATTTAACATTATTGCACTAAGAAATGCACCCCACTTTGTAATAAAATTCATTACAGCATGGTGAAATTCTGATTGCTTTTATTTTAAGCCAGTTACTCACCTGAAGAAGTTTTGCAGAAGGTGAATGTTTTGAAAATTAGGTTTTAATAATATTTCAGAAAGAATGGGAGAATGTATATTTGTAAAATCTTCAGGATGACCATAGATACATATTTACACGGACAATGTATATAACATTTTTACAAAAAATTTACAATTTGTTTTACCTTTACATGTCTATAAATTGATCTTTGACGAAAAGAGAATAGGTGTATGTATCTCTCAAATTCATTTTCAGCCTGCCAGTCTCCCAGCTACTAAGAAAATCTTAGTGTATACGCGCTCGAAACAGTAGATCTGGGAGACACAACTGTGTATGAAACAAGCAAGATCTTTTTCCAAACCTAAAATCTCTTCTTTTTATTGTTTTATCAATGTAGAATCATGTTCATGACTCTATGCTTCTTACTAAGCATATGATATATCCCATAATATCTCATATAAATATATAACATCATAACCAGATTGCAAAAAATCTTAAATATAAAAAAGTTTTCTTTCACCCAACTTTTTAAAAATAAAAACTGGTTCAAGTGGGAGAAGAAAAACAAGGGAAGTATATATATATATATATATATATATATATATACTTTTATAAATATATATATATATATGTTATAATTATTTTTTTTTGCAGGAAACAAGAAAAACCCAAAGAGACAAGTTGATTTATAAAATAGCTGTACTGAGTGCACTTATATTTAATTACACTGAAGTGTTAGGTTTGTGACTCTATGGCTTGAAAAAAAAACTAGTCATGTCTCTCATGTATCAAGGTATGACTCATGCATGAAAGAGAATAGACACATGTATTAATGAGTCTATTTGAATTCTTGTATTTATGTGTGAATCACACCTCTGACTCTTTTTGCATGTGTAACGTGTTCATCTGGTTGAGGATGAATGAGATGGTATGTTGGCGGATCAGGCCAATTTGACACTTCAGAGTCAGGTTTTGTTCCTGGCACATGTCCAAACGAGATTTCAATAAGGCATTTTCAATTATCATCTTTTCTCGAGCCTGCAAAGAAAGAAAAATGAAGAAGTAAATGTTTAAAACAGCAATAAAATTAAGTTAGAATATAATTTTGTATAATAAAGGCATATTTATGCAGGGAAAATATATACTTAAAAAAATATTAAAGTTTTATAATGAAATTAAATAAGAATCTGTCAATGTTGATGATGCTTATCTAACATGACAGAACTGGTTTACAAATTTAGAATTCTTAAATCTACACCATTTCAGATCTTATGCATGTTAATGTTTTCACAATACTGATGTATATAAAATTATATATATATATATATATATATATATATATATATATACGAAAAGAGGAAAACTATACTTAGTTTTTAGCTGATGCATTTTGTCATTTGACAGACTTTATCAAGGCAAATCTGATGATTTTATTTTGCAACAAGTATATATTTGACAGATTACATCATTTAGTATACTTGATAAAGAAAGATTTTAAGTTAAATCTGGTATAATTATAGGTTTCTACTTAAGAGCACTAAGAATTTGCATTTCCCAATACCTACCCAAAGAAGAAAAATACAATTCACTAAAATGTGAAATTTATGAGAATTTTGTTTCCTTTCATATTAGCAGAAATTCTTTCTTAATTTATTGAATATGGAATGATTTCGGCAAAGTCCATCTAAAATTCTGGAGTCAGGATGCTGAAGATAACATCAATCAGCTAAGTGACAAATTTTTTAGTTGTATTACTGATGTATCCTGTTTTTTATGGAAGAATACACATTGTTGGTGAACTGGAAGTCATCTGCGATTGGACTATAAATTGCCAAGAGGAATTGCGGTATATAGTTGGGAAGATGGAAAAAATTGTAGCTAAAGGAAGTTACACAAGTCGATACTCGAACAGTATTGGCTGGGTTACTGTGGAGAGGGGGTATGATATTGAAAGACCTGAAACCCCTAATGAACCTTGGCTAGAAACATTACTGATGATGTGTACCAAAGCATCTAATAGATGTATTTTACAATATATATATATATATATATATATAAAATGATGCACAAAATTTATAACAAACCTCATACCACCAAATCATTTGATTTAATAGAATATCAATCATTTCATGAATTATTTCAGGCCAAAAGCAATTACTCATGATATATTGATTCTTTTTAAATAAATTAAACCTAAAAATATGTTTAATACATGTATGTGTATAAATATGTGCATGTTTGAGTAAACTGAATTGTAATAGCAAAGTAAATTGGGCTGTCATCTTTGGAGTGGTCAATTTTTAATTCAGCTGAAGGTTACAGTGTGTTGAAGGTTTAGTCATTACTTCTGATGGCGATCCTTTCAACATCTGATACACCTTGTCTCTCTAGATGAGTTTTTGTGTGTGTGCATGTGAGAGACAAAGAGAGAGATTCATCACTACACCTGGATGAATTTAGAGATTGAAGAGAGTAAATTTTAATTTATGAGAAAAGATGTTATATTCATTTGTGTATTTGACTAGATCTTTTTTCCCATTTCAACTAGCAATGCGTTTCTCAGTTTTTTTAAGATAGATTTTGAAAGAACTTTGAAGATAATTTTTTTCTATTGCAAAGGGGGACAATTTTATTTTGGATTTTTCTTCTATTGGTTTAAAGGGTGATGAAGCTTGGAATAGATTGGGTTAATTTGTCTGTCACTGTCTGAATACATTTCTATATGCAGCCTCTTGGATGGTTTTCTAAGAACCATAACTGATTTGGGAATATTGCAAGAACTGTGTTTTCTCACCCACCACTGAGTCTAAAAAAGGGAAATGTCAAGAGAGAAACCTATTCACCTTTTGCCATAACATGTCTACACAATTAGCAAAAGAAACACCAAGCACCACCTCCATCTACTTACGTCTAGAACTCACTCAAGGGAAAATACAACCATGTCAAAGCTTTTGCCATTTAATATGATTGACCCTGCAATAAAGACCTTCTCAGTCAGAATTTGGGATAGATAAAGTACACAGTTTGTATAAAAAGTGAGATTATATTCTTGGCAGGTATTATGATAATTTGACTCAGGGATGAAAGAGAAAAGACTGATTGATTGAAGATTGATTGGACTGGGCCTTTCCAACTTCCTGTCTAGTCCAAGAAGGAGGGCCAATATGCTGTGCTGAAGGCTAGCAATATGCTACCAATTTCCTTATCTCCTCAACCATTAGGGTCCCACACTCAAAACAACTAAATAAATTAGTATAAATATTTATAATGAAAACATGTTGAAATTCACATTTATCATATTAAAATGTTATTTGTATTTGAGAAATATCTGTTGGCAATGGGTATGTTTAACAACCTTACCTTTGATGGATTATCATTTTGATTCAATTTCATTCTACAAGAGGGTGCTGAAAAGTTCTTTGCTCAACTCATTTCCCAAAATCTGACTAAATGTCCAAATTCATTTGAGAATTTCTTTATGGTTCAAGCACAGAACTTTTCTGCAACTCCTTGTATTCTAATAGATGCAAAATTTGCAAAGGAAAAAAGGGAATTCTTTCTAACATTTAATACATTTCTGAAATGAAGAGAATTCTATGGAGCAATGAAGCTGATAAAAAGAAAATGTTGCAGCAAACAGTAATTAGCAGAGCCCAGATGTGTGTGTCTTAATTTCCAAAAGACTTGCTAGAGCTAAATTTAATTTCATCACAAATATATTGCAAAAGGAATTAGTATTTTCACTAATCAGATGAATTCTATTGAAATTTTGGTGCCAATCATTACATGACAATGACATAAAATGGTCATTTTTTGATCATTTTAAAAACACCTAATAGAAAATTTGGTGAATGATCAGACTATATTTGTGTCAAAGAAAATGCTGTAAATTTCCAAATGACATGAACTGAAGAATTCAAGAGAAAACAATATTTGTTCCTTCAAGCTTAAAAATTATTAACCAAAAAATGTAATGTAGAAAAAGGAATAAATTTTAATCTTTTGGAATAGCTTAAAATTTTAATGTATCTTCTAAATTCGGTTGGTCTTTAAACTATCTAAATTACATGATAAATCATGATTATCATTGCATATAGAATGTTCTTTTAAAAATCTATTGCAAACAGTATTAGTAAAGAAAGAAAAAAATTATCTTTTTAAAAAATATATTTTAGACTAAAAAAATGAAGACAAATGTCTAACTTTGTTGAAAAAAAAATAAAATAAATTAAGTTATTAAAAAAGCTGTATATTTAAGAAGAAATATGAAATTATAAGTTGAAAATTTTCATAAAAATGAATTTTTTTTTTTTTAATTTTTCCAGCAGCAATCAGATTTGACCATATGAAATCTACAAAACATGGATGTTTGAATGGTAATATAAATGGTAATATTAGCCATTTCCCTACAAGAAAACATTTGGCAGTACTGCTTTTGGTTGAAATTTATAAAATCTTAAAACAATTTTTCAGGAAAACAGGTTTCTTCGGTCCAGTAGCTGCTATCATTCTTTTCAGTATTAATGGGGATCCTTCCTAACCTTTTAATTTAAATAGTGTGGAACATCTTGATTATATCAACATTTTCACTTTGAGTTACATGTGCTATACATTTTAGTTGTTGCAACTGTTGAAAATCCTAAAGTGATGTGGTTTCTGCTATTTGGTACAGATCTTTGTTTGCAATTCTGTAGTGCTGGTCCACAATGAAGAATGTTTGTGTCAAGAGTCACAAGCTTCACTCACTCAAAACCATTTTTAACCACTGATTTTATGAATTTGGTTATATACAGCTGACAGTTTAGGTAATTTCTGAATAGGTTGGTGTTATGCATGACATCCATATGAAAGTATCAATATGACAAGGCTATTTAAGAACATGACTCAAGTTTTCAGGTGAATGTTTTGGTGTTAGGTGAAACTATCTCTAATGCAGCCTATTCTTTGATCAATTTCCTTTTCTTCTATGACAAATTTGTTATAACTGATCCATATACTGAGGTACTTGAAGTGTTTAGTATTTACTAATTTCATGTCCTGAATTTTTAAGATGGATTCAGAGTATGTGCCATCACTGCTTTCATTCCATTCCAGATCAGAGTTTCCGTTTTGGAAAAGATTATCTTGAAACACTTGGTAGAGGATGTTGACTTTCTGTTCACAATCATTCTTATCCCAACTATGAATACCTGTCATCAGCATTGCCGCACTCATCATCAGTACATTGTTATCAAGTGGGAAAGCAGGATTATTGTTTTCTATTGGTAGATTCTTTTGGGATGTGGAAGGGAATGCTTAAATAATCAGTGCCCATCTCTTCACATCTGTGTTTGTAAATGGAAAAGGTTAAGTAGACTTGGGCTCTAATTTCCTCCTTGTTGGACTCCTGAGAGGTTTGAAGAAATGTCTTCATATTGGGGTCCTCACCAGACATGTAAGATTTTTTCCTCTGTAAGATAATTTAATTTCCAATTTTCTGGATATACTGGTTTCTCAAAGAATGAAGTAGTATTTTTTTTACTTTCTTTGTTGTTTTATATTTTCCCTTCCATTTGTTTTCCTCTTCTGTTTGTTTCTTTCTTGCATCAAATTTTTAAACTCAGGATTGTCAGTTCATACATGTATCTTTTTCCTTTTAGGTATTCTTGAAAAACCCCATCTTGAAGATTGTAATGTAGATTATCATCTCTGATATGAAGAAGGGTTAATCAAGTAAAGATGATTTAATACTAGAAGCATATAAGATTTAAAAATGATATACAGGCATTGTGTGTGTGTGTGTACGCATATGTGGATTTGGGTATTACAGAATTTTTCTTAGTTGCTGTAATGTTTGCTTCAAAGAATAATTCAATTAATATAAACTGACAACCCTTGACTCAATGAACATACAGACATTATTTAGAGTAAATAGAAAAAGAGGGACCAATGGTAAAAGCACTACTTAATTTCTGACATGCAAGATTAGTTGTGAGCTGGAAGAAGGAAATAAATATGGAGTCTTTAATGCAAATCAAAACAAGCATTATTGTGGGAAA